CTCAAGCAGGGGCACCTAGAGCACGTGAAACAGGGTCACATCCCTGTTCCCAGGCAGGTTTTGAAGATCTCCAAAGAGGGAGACTCCACAACCTCTCTGAGCAGCCAGTTCCAGGGAGTTAAAAGGGGATATAGTGAACCACTTGCAAGTATAGTTTTAAACATTCAAATACTGTGGAACTTAAAGGGATCTTCTTGTGCATTGAAAAGAAATTCAAAACATCGTTTTTTGTGTCTGTTTCCCTGCTTCAAATTTTCAGTATTTTTCCAGTCCGATTTATTTTTTTCCAATAAATATGTATTGTTTCAGACTTGCATGTTTAAATTTATGCTACATTATTTTATATTCTGCATATTGGTGGTCTATATTTAAGGAGTTTTGCAGAGTATTAGTTGTTATAGGTAAGTTGTGTAGGCCTATACTTATTTGAACAGCTGTCTTTAGATCACCTGTTTTCCATTAGATGTTGTGCTGTGACTGCCCCTGGACAGCTGCATTTGAAAGAAATGCTTGGAGAGGTGTTTTGTGACTGGTAGCTAAAAGGCTGGCAGCTGTCATCACCTTGCTTATGTTCATGTTTTCCCTCTTGCTCTTGGCTGGTGATACCGATGTGTGTCTATTCCAAGAGTTTGGCTCCTGGTGGTTTTTAAATACAGCCGTGGCTTCAGGGAAAAGTCTCTGTGAATCAGGAGCCTTGTAGCTTGACAGCAATAGCTGAGGGACCCCTGGACCTCCTGCCTATCTTCATTCCTCCTCTCTACCACTGCTTTTGGAGGAAGCAGGTCTTTTTTGCCTCCTCTTCTTCCCGTAGTCAGATGCCCTGAAGAGAGCTGTCCCTACCTAGTCACTAAAGCTATCCAGCCCCCTGTACCTGTTGAGTTTCTTGTTAGAGGAACCAATATTGTCTATTTTTCAAGGAATTACGACTTCAGGTACACTTCTTAAGTAGGTTCCTTTTCACTTCAGCCTTTTCTCACAGTGCAAGTCTTCCTGCTTACCTAGCCACCTATCTAAATGAAAATTACAGAAATTCAATCTTTTAGACCTTATCTCTGTCAGGTTTGGTTGAAATCAGTCAACAAGTTCAAGGCTTAGTAGGCAGGAACTAACAGAAAGCGTGATCTACTAAATCCTATTTCCTTGGTAACTCACATGTATTTTTCTCTCTTTTTTTTTTTCCGTTGTCATACTGTAGATGTCACTTTGTCTTTACGTTGAGGATTTGTAAGATTTTTAGGGATAGAATTAGCTCTAGGAACATGTCTGCCAGCATCGTGTTGCTCATTGCCACTTTACCACTTTTCAGCTGCAAAGGCCTGGTCTGGAGGATGTGGCTGTCCTGAAAAAGGAGCTGGTCCAAGTTCAGACCCTGATGGACAAAATGACTTTGGAGCGTGAAAGGGAATCTGACAAGCTGAAAGATGAGTGCAAGCACTTGCAGGCAGAACAAGCTAACTCAGAGGTAAATCATACCTAAAGCTGTTGTGTGAATTAATTTTGCAATGATTTTCCTATGAAAATGGAAAATATTAATTCATCCTAATGAAAAAAGCCACTTTAAAATCAGAAGGCAGGTTGTAAGCTCATTTGCATTTTAATACCGTATCTTCATTGAGATTTTACTGTCAAATTGGAAACCTATTATTTGTTGTAGGTGTGTGTTTTGTATGCCAGATGCAAATCTGTGTTTCTTACCTCCTCCCAAATCAACTACATAATGCTTTCCAGGTCTTGCTTGTTCCCTGCTAGACTAGAAAGCAAGGGATTGCCACATCTCACCATGGTTTAAGGTCAAGATGCAATCTGTTTTTGGGCAGCAGCACCATTGTTTTTGTCTTGTCATTGCTGCAGTCTAAAATAAAAAATAAAAGCTATTCTGATGTTTAAGAAGGTTGATTCTGTTTTGGCTGAGTCAGTGAAAGATATTTTGAATTGCTGATGGGCAATTTGAAAACATTTTCCTGTTTTCATTGTTCTTGCATATAGAATTTGATGATAAATATTTATTTGAAGAAGCAAAGCTAAAACTGCGTCTCAGTGCTGTACATGTTAACTGCCTCTCCCTTAACAAATGTTTGTTTTCCTTGTTTTTCATTGCTTTCCTTTTCAACCAGAGAGCAGTTCTGTGCTGTCTGTGCAAATGAGAGAAACAGAATTGCAGAAACTTTGGCTTGGGTCTTTAAGGGGAAAACTTACTCCTTGTACTGCCATAGCGTGGAATTGTGAAATCTGAGAGTGAAATCTGTGTCTGACAGAGATACTGGCACAAAATCCTAAAAAAACATGGTATCCACAAAAAAAGCTTTTGTGTAACATACTTTATTGTACTGGAGAATTGATAAGTCCTGATCTGCAGATGAATTCTCTCGCTGGAGTGTGTTGCAGCATCTCACTAGTGGGTTGGTTGGTGTAGTTTTGCCATTGGCCTTAGTGACAGTTGTTGTTAACAATACAGCAGTTATTATTAGGCATCTGTCTAGTAACACTTAGCTTGTGGCTTTTTAATTTTGTGTCCTTTTCTGTTCTCTCTAGCCAGACAATGCCTTCAAAACTTGCAAGTGCAGAGCTATAGTCTCTAGTGAAATGGGGTCCTTGCAGAATCTGCCAGCATATGTGAGGGAAAGACTGGAAGATGTGCAGGATGCACAATTGCTTCTAGTATCCTCTGTCCCACTGAGATTTGTAGGCATGAAGGATTCCTGGTGTTTCTTGTGTCCTAGATTTCAGAACTGCAGTTTTAACTTTCTTCATCTGCAATGCAGAACTTCACAGCAGCTCTGCCTTGTAGTACGGCTCTCTCCCTCTGTTCCTCTCTCCTTCTTTTCCTCCCCCCATTAATAGATATGTGGAGTCGCAGGAATTGTATGAAAGTACAGTATTTTGCTAAATATGAATCTGCTATTGTTCTCAAGTTAAAATTATGTATGCCAAGAACTTGATCAGACATGTGGGAAAAAAAAGAATATCACAGTTGGAGTTCTGAATATAATGTGGTTTGTTATGTGGCCATGTAAGTTGTTGCATAATTGTAATTTGGTTTTAACTGTGAGAACTCACAACTCTGCTGCAGCATGTAAATTGAAGTACAAAATACTGTCACACTCATCTTTTGTAGTTTTGGATATTATATTAGTTTTCATTTGAAGATTAAATGGCACAATGACATCGGCATAACTGAAATCTTTCATATTACAACACGCGCAGAAGCAGCAGTTGCTCCTGTTGGCCCTAATTAGGTATGCTAGAGCTTTGACTTATCTACTTGTTTCAAGTGCAACCTTTAACAGGAAGGGAAAAAAGAGAGTCTTCAGTTCTGCTGGAAGTAATGTCCTGTGTGTTCATATAAGAAGTCTTAAATGCATGGAAAGTTTATACACTGCACTACAATAATGATCATAATATCAGGTGTCTGTTTAGTGTCATCAGTATGGAGTCTGAACCAGACAAGGCTGAGTTTCTACATGGTAAAACATGGCAAACAATGACAGCACATTCTTCTCCAAAATTTTACTGTCTTCTCTGCTTATTTTTTTACTTATGGCAACGCTAGCCTAAGACCTTGGTAGTAAGACAAGTTCAAAATCAAAGCTTTTCTGTCAATGCAAAGAGACAAGAGAAAAGATGCTTCTATAAAAAACAAAATTACTTGTAGTGCTGAAAACTTTCCATTTTGTGTCTTTTGTTTCACAGCATGTTTTAAAAATAGCCTTAAGAAAACAGGACCTGGGAAGCCCTCTACCCGCTGCATGGATATAGCTCTGCTCATAAAAGCTTGCCTATGTTTTGTCCCCGCTTTGCTCTTTGGAACCACCTTGCCTCAGGGCCGAAAGAGTAAAACAGTTCTTAGGCCATCCTAGGCCGTTTCTGCTGAGGTGGATGTGGATACACACATTTGTGCTCTTATTCGAAGCAGAACTGGTGAAGAAGTTATACTTAGAGCGTGGGTGAAGGGAGAGCGCTGGTCATTGCTACGCTGTGTCTTCAAGGGCTGAAGCAGTTGTACCTCTTTTTGTATTTGTGGTGACAGCGGTGCTAGCACAATCCCGCTGAATATTTCTTTTTAACTTTTGGGGGTGATTATCAAGGGATATTAAATTATTGAGAATCTTTATGTAAATTAAACGCTTAAAACATTGATGTTACAGATGTTTAAAGCTGTGTGAGGGAGAGAACCAAAGAAGTTGTCCGGCTCTACAGTTGTCGCCTAAGTGCAATCAATATTACACCCTCTCTTTTCTGTGTTGAAATTTATACTTAATTTTAGATCTGTACCCAAAACTGTTGTATCTGGCTGTCGCAGATGAATGTGCATTTTGCTATATACCTTCCATGTTTAGCTTCTCCCTGTAGTGAATCCTACATAGTAAACATGTTAGGAGAGCAGCTGCACTGCTCCAGGGCTAAACATTTCTGTGTATCTCTGCAGATTGGGATCTGGTTCAGTTTTCTGATAAGTCTTCCTACAAGCCATAAAAGACAGGGAATAGGCCTGGCAAATTGTTATCCTGAGAGCATACAGTATTAAATAAAATGAGTGGATTAAATTATGGGTAAACTTGCTAAAACCAAAACACTAAGCAAAGGCATTAGAAAAAATCCATATTTGACAACAAATTTGAGGAAATGTTATCTACTAACAGCTTTCGTCACTGCTTATTTCCATCTTTCATCCATCCATTTTATTTTTTTTCTGCTTCTAATGGAGAAACTTAAACTCGAGGTAATTTTTTTTAAAACCTTCTTATTCTTGTATTAGTTGTTAAACAGATTTGCTTATTGGTTCATTAGCCAAACAGACACCTCATCAGTGTCCCAGTATCAGGAGTGATTATTCATCTCTGAATGTTTACGTGATGATACATCCATGTGTCTGCCTCTCTCTCTCTCTCTCTCTGTCTCTCTAGTTGGAAGAGCTGCAGGGATATAGGGATATCTTTAGGAAGCTTCTGCACACTTTCTGCATTACATTCTTTCAGCAGTAAAACATCCATACTTTGTTTTCTGAGAACATCCTGAAAAGGTTGTCTGCCAAAGACAGATCCCAGTAGCTACTAGCTACTCTATAATAAAACGGTCTTGTAAATAACAACGTTACAGAACACAGAATTAACAACAACATGTAGTCCTATAATGAATATGTTCCTTTCTGGTCTTGCTGTTTATGTAGGAAGGTCAAAAATATTACGTATATTCTCTGCTACTTATGTCTATAGTTTCTAAAACCAGCACGAAAGTGGGATCTATGTATGTAAAAGATAGAAGTGTTACTGTTTCTGCAATTGTCACACGTTTTTTCTGAACAGGAGTTAGTTCATTCTTGAAATTGGTATTTATGCATTCCTGTCTAAATCTGTGAATATGAGAACCATGGGAAAAAAAACTTATTTAGAAATGCTGTTGTTATACAGTGTATTCCAAGCTAGTGCATCTATACAGTGCATTTTATTTTCTGTATTACAAATATACAAGAAAATTGTTCTTTGGCCTATTTGTTACAAAAAAGAGAAGCATTAATAGTGAGAACAAGCCAGTTGCTAGCTTTTGGGTAGTGTATGGAAAACACATTTTAATTGGGGAATTCAGTGTTCCATTCACACTCTATTATAAAGTTACTTTTGCCATCTAAGAGAAGGATCATGTTTCACATTTTTCAACTCTAGGTGTAGAGGTTACATTTATGGAAGATGCTTTTTCTCTTTTATCGTCTTCCACTAAGATCTCAGAGGTCACATTGTACCAAACATGATATTATTTCCTGTTAACCCAAGCAAATATGTTTTATGGCAGCCACTGTTACCGCTGTGAGGTGCTTTTCTTCTGTGCTTTCATTTTTGTACCTATCCCGTTGAACGGTGGAAATGTTTTTTATGGGTTTATGCTGGCCTGCAGGCTTGTTCAGAGGTCACCCACCAAGTCTGCATAGAGGCCGCGTATCTTAACTGCCTTCTGCTTATTTTTCCAGGCCATTTTGCCCTGGTAGGGGGGGCTTTGCAGGAAGATTTCAGAAATACAACTGCAATGACTTGGAGGGGTGTTCTCTTTGACCTACAGCTTTAATAATTATTAATGGATAATTTAATATGATTTTCATCAGTTGTGGGCTCAACTATTTTTTTTCTTTTTTCCTCATTGGATTGGGGCAAGTTTGTCTCCTCGACAGAGTACGAATTTATCTTGTCTGGGAAACTCTATTCTCTGGTAATGTTGCAGTTGACAGTGCTCCAAGATGAGGCTGTATCAGAATGTTTTTGTTTTTTTTTTTTCTTAAGATATTTATTTGAATGAAAGATGCTTTTTATTTTGCTACCAACTCTCTCATTTTTATTCAGGTTATACGTGCAAATCTTTTAGTATTAAACATAGATATTCTGTTTGTCCATTCAGGCTACCATTAACCAGTTAAGAGCTGAACTTGCCAAAGGACCTCAGGAGGTAGCTGTGTACGTCCAGGAGCTGGAAAAACTTCAAAGTTCAGTCAAAGAGCTAGAACAGAAAAACCAGGTGAGAACATTATTATTTCTTATGCTTGTCAGCTCACATTAAAATGGAAGCACACTGCCTTGGGAAGCGCTAACAGGAGGCTGACAAAGCACTTCCTTGGTGTTGCAGAAGTGGAGAATTTTTTTAACCATTTTGCTTAATGGGAGGCATATGGTAATGCACAAGGAAGCACTGTATTTTAGTGATTGTCATTACACTACAACTGAAATCCCTGAGGCCGCTATGCTTACACATGTCTAATTGCTGTGACTTATGCTAACATATTGTTAGCCACCTTTTCACATTAAAAAAATAAGTAAAAAAAAGTGGTATCCTCCAAAGTATGACAATGTTTTCACAAAAAACGTACTTTAAAAAACATTCTGAACTGTCTTTATTTCTCTTCCAATTTCTTAGCTTACAGACTGTGCTTGTGTCATATTATCTGGCCTTTTATCACAGTCATAAAAGGCAGAGAATTGAGTTAGACTCCAGAACCTTCTCAGCCCACAAATATTTTATGAGAGCTTTTATCAAAGTCCTCTGAGCTTGCTGCATGTCCTTCAAGTTACACATTATATATGTGCATTAAGAAAGCATGTGGGTTGTGAGACAAAAATGGAGATAAGGAAGAAAGGAGAAAAGGAGAAAGATATATACATCTGATGTCATGTTCGTATAGGTAATATTGAATGTATACGCTATTCACACTGCACAAATTTATCTAGCAGCAAACTTTTCAGTCTTGAAAAAAGGGAAAGCACAGGGACTGAACTCTGCATATTTAATGTAATTCAATATCAAAACAGCATTTGCAAGGAATATAATAAGGTGCAATAAATTCAGTAAAGTATAGTTTACTTTTAGTAGGATGGCTCTTTGTTTAGGTCATAAAAATCAGTTTCAGAACTAAGCTGGTGAGAATTAGCATGCTATTCCTTCCCATGGAGAGACAACACTGAATGAAGCTTTGGCAAAATTATTAATACGCAGGATAGAATATTTGCCAGAATATATTGCTTTTCCCTTAAAATGTGGAGTGAAACAGTTTGAGTAAGATAAATGTACTTTAACAGGAGTCCTCTACTGTGTCAGTTTAATGCTGAATAGCACTTGTGGAAGAAGAAGACAAGAAGTGGCAGTGAGCTCCTTTTCCTCCTCCAGTTTCAGTGACATAAGGCAGCTTACAGCTACCTCTTGATGTGCCTTTTCAAAAGGAGCTATCCATAGGAATGCTTTGCTAGCCAAGGAATCCTGGCCTGGAGGGAACTGGACCTAGGTTTGGAAAAGGCAGGACTAGCTTCCCAAATAACAGGAATAGCTCCACCTTTGGAGGAGACACCAATGCAGGACAGAATACACTGCATTTTGCTGTGTGCATCCATTTATAACTCCATTGCAATGCAAAAAGGTATTTCTGTGCATTGACACTGAGATTTTTTAAAGATCACGTACGACCTCAAGCAAGCAAGCTGTTTCTTATATTTTCAGAAAAATATACTAAAAGAGCAGATGACAAGTAGGTAAGATAGCTATCTTAGAGCAGAATTGTCTTTTCTTCTTTTAAAAAGCAATGCCCTTACAGTGATTGGCTCGCTGTGCAGAGCCAAGCGTTAATTTAGAGTCCAGGAATGACTCGTTGCCCAGAAGAGGCCAACACAGGGAAAACAAGCGTGTCCTCGGCATGAGGCTGGCTGTAATTCCAATCACTGCACATGTGGTTTTTGCTTGTTTTCTTTTAGGAAAAGTGTGATATCTTATCTACAGGGAAAAGGTTTCGATCCAACCTTCTACTGATATAACTCGCTGAATTTCAGAATAGTCACCACAATTCTTTTAATCTCTACTAGACCACCATGTCACGTTGTTCTTGTATGATTGCATGGAACAGCATAAGAAAAGGGATCAGGGTTGTGTTTCCTGCCTGTGTCTTGTCCTGTTTTGAAAACAAGGTGTATGTTTGAAAACTTCAGTGTGTGCTGGAGCATAATAACATTTCCTTTTGTCTGCTTGTCTCAGTTTCTTTTCTTTGGAAGTCAAGGCTTGGGGAAGAGAGATGGCTGATGTATGCTGGTATATCCCTGTGTAAGTTTGGGATGCAGCTGGGACATGACTCCGGATAGGAGATGCTCCTGGATCCCCTGTTTTCGATGTAACCCGAGTGACCTTAGCTCTGGCAGCTCTGTGGCCCTGGTTCTGCTCGTGTCCTACATGGTGCAAGTACCACCGCTGGGCAAACGCAGCTCTCCTCTTGGGAAAGCAGTCAAGACACTTGTGGCTGTTATGGGGGACTGTCACCTTCAGGGACAGTGGCTCTGGGCTGCAGTCCGTTAACAAGACCTGGCTGCTTTACACATTATCATTGCTCATGGAAAAGAAAAGTAGCTGCAGAACAAGATCAGCAAATCCCAGCATGTCTAGCTGCTGCTTTTGGCTGTCCTCTGAATAACTCGTAATGGGGTGACGAAGAGGCTTTGCTTCTTTTTTGTTTTATGTAACATTCTTGAATGCCTCCCAGAGTCCCAGTCTGTTTCAAGACAATGTTAACTGTGCCTTTTTTTTTCTTCCCTCTTTTATTTTTATTTTTTCCCCTACATTAATTCAAAATTTAAACTAGCCTTAGATCTTGTTTCCTCCACTGGCTATTCTTAAAGAAGCTCATAGCAGTTCCATATCCACTTCTCTATAATGAAATTGAAATTACAACTTTCTGTAAGATTGTGAGGGTGAAATTTACAGTAAAAGCAGTGGTGGCCTTGCTCCTCAGCCTCAGGGTGATTAGGGTGACATGTGACATCAGTCTGTTCTTTATGTGATTTATTCCTGCATTTTATGTACACACATGAAAAATTTTTATATGCTTATAACAGCTAAAACATGCCTTATTTTTCAAGGAACATTTTAAAATATACTATTTTAGGGTCAGAAATCAATCGCCAAAATTCACTCTTGAGATGGAATTTTTGTCCAACTTGTATGCTTTGGAAAGTATATGTTTTAATGGATGCTTAAGATAATGATTAGAGAATTAATTTTCTTCTAGCAAAATAGATTTCATCCCTGGATACCATGAGGAAATATGCTTTTAAGGTCACCCAGCACAGCTAGAGTAGCAGCTCAGACTGTCTTCCCTAGGAATCCTGTTCCAAACCTGTAGAACTCTGATGTTTTGATACATATGTTTTGATACTGAGTATCCATATCTTTCAATCTGCCATATATGAAAGTGTTATATATATCTGTATATCTATGTCTGTATATAGAAATGAAAGGGCTGCTGGAGAATAGAGTAGCCCCTGACACTGCAGGATAAATGTGATAATTTAGAAGATGTGCTCTCCTGAAATGGATATTAATAAGATATCAAGCAAGAAATGGGACCTGATTTCAAAAAGCTAGAGAGAATGACCTATGTTGGACAATGATGAGTGCTCCTGGCAGCTATATTTCTGTGTTTGAAGAACTCACACTGGAAAATTGAAATGGTCCTCGTAGCATCTTCATCCTGCTTGGAGGTCTCTGAAATTCAGGTTAATGCCTCAGCTAACCTTGGGGAAAATATACATGTTCTTAAACAATATTTTTTCCGTTAATATATTTTATTTCTACATCAGTATAATTTTGATTTGTTAATGAAATTTGATAACAGCATTCTGTGACAGCTGAAATTTCTCTGTGAAGAACTTTCCCCCATTTTTTGTCTAGATGTGTAAAATTGATAATAAGCTATTTCCTTGCAATAGTTGATGTTAATGCAGTAAGAAGAAACTAAGAGTCAAGAAAGTTATGCTTTTCCTTTAGGGAATTAAATTTTGTTGTGTTTTCCTACTCAAAAGAGCCTTTTCGAAGCAAGCATTGAGCTGATTTGTATGCAGGAAATTAGATGGTATGAATTAAAGTATAAAAGCACTTTATTGTAAATTGAAGGCTAAATCATAAGTTTTTAATTCTGTGATTTATCAATATCACCTAAGATATTCATTTTTGCAGATTCTCTTCCATAATTCTCTGCCATAATTTGGATAGCAGATCAGGCTGCAAATATGGCAAACTAGGGCAAAATTAGGATACTTTTGAAGATGAGCTTGCTGGATGGCTGCGTGGAATTAGATGGGAATTAAACCACATGTCATTGTGTAGGGAATTTTATGGAGCACAGTGATAATCTGAAACATTTTCTGTGTATTAAACTCAAATTAGTATTTGCCCCTTTCCCCCAACACACATGCAATAACCTAGAATCTGAATTTTGAGGGAAATTAAATTGTCTTCAAGATATGGGAACAGAGTGAATGTAATTTTCTGACTAAGAACAAGTGGCTTTTGAGACTGTGAAATACAGTATTTTCAGTTGAAGCTGTATTATCTGGGCTCCAGAATTAGCATCTGTAACATGAAATAAAAACAATTCTTTTAATGCAGTTATGGAGAGACTACTCATGAGAGTCCTTCACTATTTTGCATCGTCACTAGAGAAGAAATTTGAATAATACATTGAACAGATATAAGCAGACCTGCAGTTAAATTACTGTGTAACTCCCCTTGTAGAGTCTGACGGAGAAGCTGCTGAAGAAAGAGCTGGATTACACCCAGCTAGAAGAAAAGCACAATGAAGTGTCTGTGAGCAAAAAGAACGTGCAGGCAAGCTTTCACCAGAAGGACCTGGACTGCCAGCAGCTCCAGGCCAGGCTCTCTGCGTCTGAAGCCTCCATGCAGAGATTGCAGACAGAGCTGGGGGAGAAGGCGGAAGCAACCCAGAAACTTAAAGAAGAATTGTCAGAAGTGGAGACCAAGTACCAGCATCTCAAGGCAGAAAGCAAACAGCTCCAGCAGCAGAGGGAGGAAAAAGAGCAGCATGGCCTGCAGCTCCAAAGTGAGCTCAGTCAGGTAAGGTTCCACACTTCTACACCAGCTTTCTTTTTTTTCTTTCTCTATGCTTTTCCTTGTGCGAGCACTTCCTTATTGAAGGGAAGTATACAAATAGGTAATTGGTATTTAAATAAATAAATGTATTTAAACAAATTTAAATAAGTAAGGCAGTCTTCCCAACTCCACATAAAATGAAATATAATCACATTAACTTGTTATTGAAGTAAAAAAAAAAAAAAAAGAACCCAAAAAACAAACAAAAAAACCCCATAGAAGCTAGAGAGAAGAAGCTGTGATAAAAGAGTGCGGAAGCTCATTGGGATCTGAATCCTTTTAATAGGCCCAAATACTTATCAGGGGCAAATGGGAATAGTCATAGCCACTTTGCACAATCATGCTCAGTAAGATCTAGAATTCCAAACGCTTTCAAACTTTCAACATTTTCATATCTGGGAATGCTAATACCCTTTTATATCTGCATCTATCAATCTATCTATCAATCTATCTATCTATCTCTATCTGTAGTATCGCTCCCCTTTTTCTATCTGATCTGAGACTTGTTTCTTGTCCACCTTCCTTCTCATGCATAACTGCCCTGTTAAATTAACTCTTCACTCACTTTGCAGTTTTCCTCTCTCCTTCTCTTGCTGATGTAAGGTGAAATAAGTCAGGTGTTGCCAGGTGACATTTTAACCCAGAATGCTGAGTTTCTGTGACAAGTATGGTAACAGGCAATGCATCCTCAGCTGCTTAAAGTTTTTGGAGCGCCTTCACCAACAAGAAGTGGGCAAGGGTCGTTATTCTGGTTCAGTAGGGTAGCTGATGCCCTAAAGAATTGAGGATATGAAAAAGCAAGTTCAAGCAGAGTATGAGAAGTAGTCTCGTTCCTAGCAGTAATCTTATTACTATCTTATTATTCCATGGGTAATTTAAAAGAAATGGATACACTTTCATTTTACCTAAGATTTAAATAGGCTTCACTTTCTTTAAAACTGAGTAGTGAATAGGGAATTATGAGTATGAAAAGAAGGATTAACATGACATCTTGATGTTGCTTCCCTCTCTCTCCCGAAACATACTCTGTTTATGCAACTTATTGCTATTAGCACACGGAGAGCATACTGTCCCCCAGCAGTTTACATGTTGTTCTCCTGTTAAGTACAATGAGTTACAGAAGTGGGATTTTCATTTAACATTGATCAAATTAAGACTTCTTGAACTCTGTTCTTTATGACATCTTGGGGACTAATATGTGAGACAGGAGAAGTGTTTGAGCATTGTCTCTAGTCCTAAAATAGAAAAAAAAGATTTCTGTTAGAATGACATACTTTACTAATCCTTTGCTGTAAGTTTATTATTTGGAAGTGAGCGTGTCTCAATTTTGAACCCCTTGTCAAAGCCTGAAATAAATTGTATTATGAGTTATGCAATGGAAGAATTGAGGCTTGGCAGAACTTTATGTGTGTATGTGTTACATCTCCATAATGTCTTGCACTCTCTCATCAGTCTCCTAAAGGAAAAATTTAAAAAGGTATTTTAGTTATCCACTTAGGAATCCTCATTTGATAAAACTGCCTCAATCTGCCTAAGCAACAAGTATGCAGGTTTCTGAAGCACAGCCAAGAAGCTCAGCTGAAATCTGGCTTCAGATTTGGAGGGCGTTTTCAGGAAGGATTTTTGGGGTGGGAAGATGAAGAGGAAGGAGTATGAGTCACTCATTGCTGCATGAGCTCTTAGGCAAGGAAATGCAAAAATTTTTGAAGGAATTAAGTCTAAGCAAGAAAACCTACACAAAGCTGGTTCTCAGGTTGCGTTTTAGAGTTGTATTGTAAAAAAAGTAGTGGATAAAAATATAAAACCCTTCACTTATGAAGTAAAATTTTAAAAAGTGAAACCAGGCAAAAAATTCACTTTCTGTTTCTCTGTCCAACCAAGTGTTCAGGTACTGTTGTCTTAAAAAGACAAAATTTCTCATGCTTGGTCATTTGGTACGCTAACGATGTTATCTCTGGATATATTTCTGTAGCTCGTGCTGACATAATGAATTGTCATTTTTTATGAAGGTAGATGCAGAGCAAGCTTACAAGTAAGCTTGCAAGCTTACTGTCTTAAGCAATGATAAGAAAGTCAATCCAATAGCTTTAATGGATGCAAACTTGTATTTTGCTTCCACTCTTGAGGACCAGAAAGAGGTGAGATGAAGGCTCTTCTGAAAGGACTGAACAGTTTTTGGCGGGATAGATGTGCCTCTTGTGGACTGGTTAAGTTTGTATAAATAGGAATTTAGGGTGACTCAAGGAAGTGATGGTGGAGCTCTAGAAGGAAGTTGCAGTGACTAACGTTGGTTCCACGACAGTCTAGGGAGGAGGGTGACATGCGCACGCTCATACACGCACACCCCCGCCTTCAGTCATGGGGAAACAGAGCTCCCAATAACTAATGTTACTGCTAGTGAGAAACTTCACACCTGCTTGATTGCAACTTTTAAAATCTAAATTTATACTTTTCTGAATATCTAGAAACTCTAATATTGGTGGTCTGTAGTAGATGTTACTGGTTTGTTGACTTAATGTCCATCTTAATGTCCTTCACAAACACTTAACTTTAGACCCCCATGAATGCCAGCAATCACACCATGTGTGCTTTGCTTTTGCAAATGTAATTTTTTGTGAGACTAAAGTAGGATATGGTAAAACATAAGTATTTTACTTAAGAGTGTTTCACAGGAAATAAAATGGTCAGACTTGACAGATACCTTAATAAATTTTTATAAATAATCTGTTTGAGATTATTAATTAATGGCTCTGGGCTGTGTTTTTTTTTTTGTGAAGGCTGTAGGTTTATACTTTACATATAATTATGGCCAATAACAATCTGAAACATATAATAGTATCCATAACTTAACCTGCTTAGAATGGCTGATAACTTATGGACCCATTACAAAATATTTCTTACTGTATCTGTAATAAAAGTGACTTTTGAAAATGCTGTTTCTATCTTCCCAAATATTCTCTCCCAATTTCAGACAAACCGTGAATTTGGTAGTTATCTCCTGTTGCACCCTTTCTTCATTACAATTTTTTTCTCAGCTCTTGTTCATGTTTTTAGTGAAGAAATACTAATAATTTAGTGGTTACTGCAGGGGAAAAGCAGCCAATGTTGCTTAATGGTATCGTTTCTTCCCACTCTCTGCCCTCCTTTTTCTACCACTGCACAATTAAAATTTCTCAGCCACATGCAGAACAACTCATTCAGAATACAGAGAGTTGTGGATATGTAAAGGAATAATTCAGCCTGGTTTCCTAAGCAAATAAGGCAGAGATATGTTTGTTTCCCTCTCCCTGTCCCTTGCAACTTTTGCATTCTTTCTTAACTTCAGCCAATTTTAACAGAAAGTCAAAAACTTCATCGCAAGGTCCTTCAGCATTAGGTGTTTGTGGAAAAAGGCAGCTGGGTAAAGTGCTGTTGGCTAAAGAATGACTGATAAACCAGATGATTTTCTTTTTGCAGTTGCACAATAAACTTCTAGAGACAGAGCGCCAGCTAGGGGAAGCACACGGTCGGCTGAAGGAACAGAGACAGCTATCTAGTGAAAAACTAATGGACAAAGAACAGCAAGTGGCTGATTTGCAATTAAAACTTTCTCGTGCTGAAGAGCAGGTAGGCTGTCTGTGCAGACTCTACTTTTCAGTGGTTCTGATAGAAGCCTCTATATACATTCATTGTAATATTGAGGTTTATAGCTTCTCCGTCTCCACAGGAATTTCATGTGACTAATGCTGTTAAAATCTGGCAAAATTGTTGAACTTAGTCTTTGCTCATCTGATGCATGTAAGTTCTTGGTGTACTACTGAAATTCCTTGCACTGAAGAACTTTGTCTAAGTATCTTGTAATAAAAAAAGGCTTAGGTACACCTAAACCAGTGTGTGTGAAATTTAGTGTGTAGATACTCTTGTGAGATAAAGCCTCATGTGCAGGGAAAAAAAAGTGAATGTAGGACAGCCAGTTGGTCATTCATAGTTAATAAATTGTAGGATGGAAGGGTAGCAAACACTTGTTTTACTAATTGTTAATTGTCAAGTTTTTATTTATTTTAATGAGCGTCTTGTATATGTTGCTGGTTTATTGCTACCTCTAAGTGGATTGGCCACATATCTGAGTGGTATGTTTTAAACCTTTTCTGTAGTTAATTTGCAAAGCTTTGACCAATATTACTTGCACAAAAAGCAATAAAAGGGGAGACATTGCTAATCCAAAGTTGCTACTAGAACTTCTAATGATAATAATTTTAAGGATGTCTATATTATCTGTTACATCACAACTTAACAACTCTTGGAAACAAAATACTAAAATGCCTTCCCTGTTAGATTCTGAGAACTAAAAATACATATGTCTGATACTGCTTTTATAGTATCTCACTTGTGATATAGAATCTTACTTATTAATAGTATAAGAATGCTTTGCATAGATTTTGATTCTTTAACTGGCATCACACACTCATTTTTATACCAACTTTCAAATACTCATGCTTAGTTTAGAATCTTTTAGCACTAGGATAAACATTGAATGCTATAGAAAGTTAGATGGTGCTTGTTCATTGCTTGGTTTTAATTTTTTTTTCTGAAGCTAAAGGAAAAGGTGGCAAATTCTACTGAATTACAGCATCAGCTAGATAAGGCGAAACAGCAGCACCAGGAACAGCAGACACATCAGCAAAACACTACAGCAAAGCTACGAGAAGCCCAGGTAACTTAGCGATTATGTATTCTTGTGTAAATGTGTGCTTCAGCAACTCACGATTTTTGGTGCATTGCTTGGTAGAAGTGACTTGCATGATATAGTAGTTTCAATAAATTGATAAATAAATCTAGAACAGAATATACTGTGTTTAATAAATTTATCCAACATTTTATGCATTAGGAATAACTTCTAAGGTCCATATAATTAAGGAAGCTATTATGCGATTTTCTAGAATGATTTGGAGCAAGTACTACGACAAATCGGAGATAAGGACCAAAAAATACAAAATCTTGAGGCCTTGCTTCAAAAGAGCAAGGAAAACATCTCCTTACTAGAAAAGGAAAGAGAGGACTTATATGCAAAAATTCAAGCTGGTGAAGGAGAAACTGCAGTTCTTAACCAGCTACAGGAGAAAAATCATGCATTACAAATACAGGTAAGAACTGAGACCAGCTTCCTTTCTCTTATTGTCATTGTTGCATCTTATTTCCTTAACTTGTGTCTAATTAGATATGGCATTAATCTTTTCTGTACTTTTCTGTTTCTTTGATACTACTTAAAGTATCTTGCTGTAAATTTCACAGGATTTGTGTTTTGATGACTTACTTGCTATCAGCGAAAAGAAAAAAAAATCCTAGATATTTCCTGTGATATGTTCATATGATACACCAAATTTCAGTTCAGCCTACATCTGATGCCTCTTTAATACCTTGGTTTTGTTACAGCAGAGCCAAATTGTTCAATCCCTTTTGCTTTCATTGTGAACTGGTAACATATTTAAGCTTTGGTGTTGGGCAAAGCAAAGGTTTACTGTGATATTGTCAGAAAGAAAAATGTAAGAGTTGAGCAGTGTCAGGATTCCAAAGCTATGATAAGACACTCTAAAATTGGAAAGATATATGACTTGTCTGGATATCAAGTTCCTATCTTCTCTTTTAATTATCACCTTTTTTTAAATATTTATCTGCAGGTAACTCAGCTGACAGAGAAGTTGAAGAATCAGTCAGAAAGTCACAAACAAGCCCAGGAGAATTTGCATGAGCAAGTGCAGGAGCAAAAGGCACAGCTAAGAGCTGCTCAAGATCGAGTGCTCTCACTGGAATCAAACATTACTGAACTAAATAGCCAGCTAAATGAAAGCAAAGAGAAAGTATCACAACTTGATATACAGGTAGCTGAACTTTGTACTGTCTGGTCACAAAAAACACCAAATATATGCAAAATAATATTAAAAAAATAAGAGACTGCAATATCAGACAAAATGTCTTTTGAATATTGCCTGTATTCACCAACACTATTCATAATGGCCTTCTAAATTTCATTTTTCCGTGTTTGTAAAATGAAAATTTTTCCTGGACTAGAAGATGAGTGGGACCAGGTTTTATAGCTCAATATAAAAACTAGCTGTGCTCTTTCATATCTTGGTATTTTTTTTCCTATTTCCTGAGCAATTTGTTTCTTCTTTTTTATAATCTAGCATGTGAGAACTGCTGGTAATTACTATTAAACTTACTGATTAGTATACAAATGAATTAAAATCAACTGCAGCAAAATAGATATTTTAGGTAAGTTTCTTAGCTTCTAAGTTTCTAAGTAATTTTTCTTTCAGGTGAAAGCAAAGACTGAATTGCTACTTTCAGCAGAGGCATCAAAAGCTGCTCAGAGAGCAGATCTTCAGAATCATCTGGACACTGCCCAACACGCACTGCAGGATAAGCAACAGGTATTGCAAGCTTAATGCTTCTAGACTACCTGAAAAAAAAAAACAAAAAAACAAGCAAAAGCCCTTAAAAGTCGTAAGATTAGTCTGTTCACAAACTTAAAAAAATGCCAAAATTTGCATTTGAAAATGTTCATTTAGCATATTTTGACTACATGATTTGTCTCTGTGTTTTTTTCTGCAATCTGGATCAGATACATTCTGCAGTGTAAAGAATTTGTTTTTGAATCCACTTCCTGTTGCAGAATTAGGGTTCAGAATCAAATCTGTTATAGCAGGATATGATTTATCCTAAGCTGTATGTTATGAATGGAAGTTTGTAGAATGCACTGTGTATTAAGCGAAAACTCTTAATTTAAATTGCAGACTTAGATAAATTCAAAATAAGATGCTTTCATTCTGAAAGTTTTGTGTGTGCAAACTGACACAGAATCAGCAGAGTCTTGTTAAAGCTGTCTGTGTGTGCTTTAACCCCAGTGAAACATTCCACTGGGGGCTGAGCTGAATATTTGCCTTGTTAGAATCAGCACCACTGTCATCTTAGTGGAAATATCCCATGGGTCTGAACTTAGCACCATTTTCAGGTTGGAATGTAACTGCTATAAATAGCGAAATACTACTTTTTTCTTTTTTCTTTTTTTGCAACTATTTTATGGTTTAGTAATTAGTTAAACCAGCTTGCTTGGAGTACAGCGGACTGTAACTGTTATCTTCGTGTTTGCTAGCTAAATGTATTCATTTCTCTTTTGGAAGTTACATCATTTTGTGATGAACCAAATGTTTTGAAATCGTCTTTGGTATGTGGAGATTTGACTGTTCCCATGGTATTGGTTTTCCTGCTTAGTAGTGCTTGATTTCATGAAGACAGGAGTTTTTTTCCCTAAAGTTTTATAGAGTTATTTTCTAGTTATTGCTGTATTAACTGCAGAATTTAATGTGTTCATTATAGCCAGTTTATCTTCCATTTATAACTTGAGAGGAATTTATTAAGATGTAGCCCATAGTGTGTGAAATTTGAGAGGAGCATTGAGGCTTTCAAGGAAGTTCTGTCAGCTTCTATTTGTGAGTGTGCTTGTTTTCCACTCTCACTTTCCTTCCTTGGAGGCTAAAAAAAGCAGCGTTATTTTCCTTTCAATTTGAACACATTAGTTCATTTAAAGTCTATATTATTCTGAGGCTATTAGTCATTTTTGGAGATTATTTAAAAACTAACAACCATCTCATTTGTGTTCTATCCCAGGAGTTAACTAAGGTCAGCGCTCAGTTGGATCAGGTTACAGCTAAGCTGAATGACAAGCAGGAATACTGTGCTCAGCTGGAAGCCAATATCAAAGAGTACAAAGAGCAACATCTTAATTTAGAACAGAAAACTGAAGAGCTAGAGGGACAGCTTAAGGTTCGTATAGAACAGAATCTGAAGCTCATGCTCTCCACCATTTGGTGGTATTTGATAAAGGCTGTGCTCAAGCTACAGGGGGAAGGATTATATCCATATCACTTTGGCAAGTTTTTTTTTTTTTAATTTTCCACCAATCTTTCCCTTTAATCCTCTTCTCTTCTTCCATGCTAGCATGTTATACTAAGGGCATAGACTTAGGAAATTGCCCCTATAAGATGGTTTTCCTCTATGCGCACTTCTACCAACCTCTTTGCTACCTGATGAGTATTACAAGAGGAAACATTAATATTCCCTGAAATCAGAGCCTCTGTGGTTTGAACTTACATACTTTACAGGTAGTGCCAGAGAATATACGTTTACATCAATTAGGTCAATTCATTTCTAAAACCTTTCAATAGACTTTTCTATAGATTTTTTTTAGCATTTTTATATGCAAGAGAAAAAAATCTTTGTCCAGCTGGACATTCTGTTTCATTCTGTTTCTGGAATTAGTTTTTCTATGACAGTGTACATAATAATGGCAGTTTTTCAGAATCTATTAATGTTCTGAAGTGCTGATATTTGCTAATATTCTCAGTTAAGGATATAAGTTTGTATTAATGCTTCAGTCTTTCAAAATTAGGTCTGTAATGTTTGTTTAATATTTGTTCAGAATTCTTAGTCTTCAGAATTCACAGTGCGTAAAACCACATGAATTTTTTTTCCCATATGAAGGACGATTCAAAAATGGTTCAACACCAACCGATCCAACACCATTAAAGATAAAGCAGTTGTATATTTGCCTTATTAGCATTTATTTTGTGCTTTCATCTCTTTCTTATTTCCCAGTGTTATTTCCTGTCCACTCCTCATTCCCGTTTTTATTATTTTCAGCTTTCTGTGAGAGTTTTGTAAGTAAATTAGAAAACATGAGTGCTTAGGAGCATTGCACTGTTTTCCTGCCCAAGACTTTTGTGGGGTCACTGGGAGCTGAACTGGAAAACCAGTCAGAGGTGCTGTCAACAGAAATGCTATTCTGTGTAAAAAACTTAGTGCCATCACCATTCTTTGGGCTTATCCCATCCCAAAATAGTTCACTTCTAGAACTGCAGAAACTAAATAACGAAGAGCAAATAGCAAACTTACTGAAATAGGTCTACATGTTTCAAAACTGTTACCACTTTCCACAGCAAAGATTTCCTCCACAGCCTTATAAATAAATGCTTCTCCTCATAGACTGGGCGGCTTTTGTTTTTATTGATTTTGTAATGTTGTTTGTGTTGTTATAGCTCTGGATTTTTATTTTCCTTTCTCAGAAACTTGAAGCTGACATTTTTGATGCTAAAGCAAGCAAAGAACAAGCTCTCCAGGAGTTACAGCAGCAGCGACAGCAGGCTACAGAACTAGGCCTCCGAACAGCAGAGCTCAGTAAACAACTTGAAGCGGAACGAGAAGTGTATGCATTTCCTGTCTGATAGTATTTTTCAGAAAAAGTCATTCTTAAAACTAAACTAGAATGTTTGGAGTAGAACTGAAATGTTCTTCACCCTTACTATGTCTTAAAACTATAGATAGAAGTCATGCCTTCATATCTTAGGGGAACTGAGTTATATTCTATCTGTTTTCTTGCACTTGATCTGTCACATAGGTACATTTGTCCCATCTTCTCACACGCATCACTTACTCCTGGGATTTAATCCACTCCTCTTCAGTTTTTAGCAAAGGGGTAGTTTCTGTTCATAATATTTGAGAAAGATCAATGCTTCCCAAAATTGTACATGTTCATTGGAGAGATAAAATGTTAAGATGTTCTTTTGTGCAGTTAATATGTTAAATAATAAAGGTATTTAATCAAAGAAAAGAACCTATGAAGAAAATATATATGTACTTTGTTTTCCTCTGTTTTACTTTGTATTTCTAGTGTGTCTAATACTAAAATGGAGTTACAGAAGAAATGTGAGGCCCTTGAACAAGCAAAAAAGCAAATTTCCAAGCAGGAGGAGGAGAAGACCAGCCTCAAACAAGATCTTGAGAAATCAAATCAAGATACGAGTAAACAGCTCAAGGAATTGGATTGTAAAATGCAAGCAGCAACATCAGAGCTCCAACAAATGAAATTAGAGAAGGAAACTCTATTAAAGGACCTTACGGTTACCAAAGAAAAGCTTTCAAAAAGTTCCGAATCCTTTAGAAAAAGAAAGGAAGAATTAGAAAAAGAAATACAGAAGGGAAAAACAGCTGTGTCAGAAATGGTTAGTTATTTCTTTTTCATTAAACAAAATGTTTAGGGTATTTACTCTCTGGTAAGATGATTGACTTTCTGTCTGGAAACTCCTAGCACAGTACATATGATGACACTTGCATGGAAATTAGTTGCCTTAAGGAAAAACAATCTGTGTGTTTCTTTTGTTGTTCATACAGGCATTCTAACTGCAATTTTTGTCTGGATGTTTTTAGTAGCAAACAGTTTATACCTGACAATGGCATCTCCTTTTCTCCGCTGAATACCTTTAGTATGGTAAAGAAAACCAGAGAGTGATGAGAAGTGAAACAGTTTGACGGGAAATGTCCCCTTTTAAAAATACATCACCCTTGTAAAGCAAAACAAAATATAGTCATAAAACATATTGAAGTGCCACCATGTTGAAGAAAGCGGTGTTTTTCTGTGACCTTAGTAGTTTCCTTGCTAGAATCATTTATGTACAATGTTCTTGTGCACTTGTCTAGACATAATGGAAGACTGCTTACTGCAGTTAGCATAACAGTATTTCTCCTTTGGGGAGATGACTGGCTTAAAGTATTTTAAACAGAATTGCTTGAGTTTCAGAGAGGTCTCACAGTGGCAGTATAGCAATGAATGCTTGACTAGAGCCATCTGTTACAGTAAGAAGAACAAACCCATACGACGTTTAAATAAAATAAAATAACCCCCTTTTTTTTTTCCTTCCTCTTCTGCTATGGAAGTAATGTGAATTCCATTTTATAAATCTCCTATAAACATTTTCTTATACCTCTTTGTCAGACAATGTCAGGGTATAATTCTCATTCTCATCCTGTCTGACTGTTTCCCAGAACTCCTGCATAGCTCTTTTATTCTGCTCTAAAAAAAAAAAAAAGTGTTCCTGGTTAAAAATATTATTTTTCCTTTACTCCTTCACCCTTTTAAGATAAGACTTTTTGTTTGCTTTAGTTAGTTAGTGCTGTTCAAATATTTATGCTTCTCCTAAAAACTTGAAGGATATTCTCCCCAATTTAGACTTGAAGATAAGAGTCCAGATTCTGCTTCTAATTCTGTAGTCTGTTAGAGGCTCACCATTGACTGAAGTGTGTGGGATTTGGGCTGAAAATGCTGTTGGACTTGCATTCAAGTCCTGCAAATGTACTTGCTCGTGAGTTTTAGAATTTCAAGAAATTTGGGATGCGGAGGAGAAGACTGAGCAGATTGCCTCCCCTGAGAAGAAGGGCTGCCACAAGCAGCTTCAAATGGGGACATTGTTCCTAATCAGAGGAACACTTTAGTACCTGGTTACATTGGTTAAGTAGAGGGTACCAGCTATGCCTTGATGCCTTTCAGAACTGGGGCTTCGTTAGCGAGGCTTTCTACTTCCCACTGCTAAACTTTTGGGAAGTTTTTTGGTTGAAAATATGGCAGAAACTCAATTTTGCTAAAAAATAAATGTGGTCTTTTTCAAGGCTTTATAGCTCCTGTGAAAATACCTGGTCTTAGAAGCTCGCAGAAATATTTGCTTGTATCATTTGTTCTTCAGGAAAAATCCTGCCAAGAAGTAAAACATCAGCTCCAGGTACAAACGGAGTCTGTAGCTAAAGAAAGGAATGAACTGAAAAACTCACTGGAAAAAAAGGAAGGGGTAAGCTGTCTGTCTTCATGGCTAAATCTAGAAACCAATAATGATAAATATTTTTTAAAAGATTTCATTTTTAGTCTTACATGCTGGGATTGATGAGGGTGAAAGTAGTTCTGTTCTCAAATTATAACCCACTTGGGCGACTGAAATGTGTCAATACTAAAGATTCTCACCTTTTTTAATATGGTATTTAAAAATCCAGATTTTATATCTGCCTTTCTGTGCTCTGCATACTATTCTACTTCTCAGTTCTTTTGTCATTAGTAAAATAGTTATTTTTGCATTATCATGTCATCATTTTGTTTTATACTTTGGTCTTTGAGAAATAGAAGTTGATATTTCCTTAGATGTTGGACATAGTAGGCATTTCCTCATATCCTTAGACCTGTTTCAGGCTCAGGCATCGCTCTGCCATCTAATCAGCGTGATCTCTGTGTGACTGACCGGAGAGCTGCAGACAACCTTGTTGTTTTTGCAAACTTCTCTTCTTGCAATTGTGGGCAAAATGAACTTCTGTCCTAAAGATCGAACTTTCAGTCAGCAAAATCATGTGGTCCAGCTGGTAACCTGAGGGCCAAATCCACTTTATGATTTTCTTTACCTAAACCGTCACCTTTTCACCAAAGGAAGCAGGAAAAGATACGTGCAGTACACATTGTTTGATAGATGATAGATAGTTGCAGTAAGGACAGGAGATGGGGGATAAGGGATGATCTTTATGTGGAAGTGTGCTGTAGGAGCTAATAAAAAGCTAAATCTAACTGCCAGAGTTGGGCCACCTCACTCCTCATTCACTTGTTTTGTTTTGGGGTTTTTTTTGTTGGGCCAGAGCTGGGGCACTTCACTCCTCACTCACTTGTTTTGTGTTTTTTTTGTTGTTGTTGTATTTTTTTCCCTGTGAATTTGTCTGCTTGCTTTTTGCACTCTGTAAGTCCATGCAGTTCAATATGTAGTTTCATGTACTACAGAGTATACAAATATGACTTAAGTTAAAATTATATGCAGTTATTTAATACTCTTGAATATAGATTTCTAAGCAGTTGTCGATAGAACTTGATTCAGCACGGGCGCAAGTACTGGAAGTTCAGGGTCTTCTAAAAGAGAAAGAAAAAAGTGAGCAGCATCTCCAGGGAAAGCTGAGAGAACTGAAGGAGTCCTTTGAACAGAAGAAAAGGCACAGTGAAACACTGCAAGCTGATTTAAAAACTGCCCTTTTAGAAAAGGTAAATCAGGCTTTCCTTCTTTAAGAAAATTACTGTGATTTTCTCTCATTAAAGCGTCTGCTTTTCTGTCAATATCTGTAGCATAAATAGCTGTTTACTATTGCTTTTGAGGGGAAATAATAATGTCAGGATGTGTAATAAAGGTTTTAAGATGATACTAAAGGTTGAAAAACAACAGCAATAATAATAATGTAACTGTACTCAGTTTATAGAAAATGCGAGTCTTGAAACATTATTTAGATTTTTGATGTGTTTCAGTTAATCTTTTGACATGAATTAAATTATTTGCTGTTAAATAAGTTACCAACTATTATAATAAAATTTGTAAAAGATCAGATTACCTACTTGCTATTTCAATATGTGGAAAAACTCACTTCTCATTTCATTTTTTAGTAGAAATGCAGTTTACTGAAATGACTCTGCTTACTTTACTCTCTGTAATTTTAACTGATGCTTCCTCTGCCATCAGGCAGAACTGAAGAATAAACTGCAGCAGCAGACAATATTGTCAGCACAGGAGCTTAAAGCAGAGAAAGGAAAACTAGCAGACTTACAGAAGACCCATGAAAAACATCAGGAAAACATGGAAAAACTTCAGCTGGAGTTTT